CCCCAAAACCCCAAAACCCCAAAACCCCACTAACTTTTTTAAGTGTTGAAAGTTATATATAGTAAATTAGTTAAATGAACTTCCAGGTTTGTAACAGTTTGGAAAATTCTAATGAACCCATATCTCTGGCTCTTCAGCAACAAGAGATTGGTAGTCATGTTGGCATCTTAGACCCAGAAGGAGACAGTGTCAATTCTGAAGAAGTAGTCGGAGATTTTGAGGAGACTGATGAAGAGCAATATTCTGAAGAGAAAAAGCAAGAGCAGAGTAAGTATATGCATGAAAAATGAAAGAAATTTGTTAATTAAGTGTCTCAAAAGTTTATTTTTTATAATGACCCCTATTTATTCTTCGATAAAAGATTTGAAAAAGTTAATAAAATAATTATTTTTTATTTTGTGCTCTTACTAAACTAAAATTTTATAGCATCAGAAGTTTTGCAAGAAAATGATGCTAAATTACTCGAATGCTATAGCGAGCCGGATAGCGAAAATGTGTCAGAAGATATTAATGCTTATATTGATTCTCAAATTCTTCGCTTAGGATATAATGGTGATGATGCTAGTATAAAATTTTTGTCATGAGAGATCCATAACCAACATGAAAGTTGATGCCAACAAGAAGATGAAATGAATATAATAGCTCAAAAGTAAAACTATATCTCTAAAATATAAGAGAGGCTACTATAATGTATGAAACTTGTCTAAAATCCCATATCTTATAAAAAGAACTAAAGGAAGAGCTTCATGGGCTTTCTAATAACTTTCTTTCTAAAATTTATTAGAAGCAAGTTCAATTATTAAATCATTCATTCCACCTATAGTTCCATCAAAGAAGCTTGTTATAACCTTAAAATCGCCCACGAACCTTCAAAAGTGTTGCCTAAGGACTAAAAGGAAAAACGGATATACTTAGAAAGAGAGAATTTAGTACTATCCAATCCTCTTTTCCACACAAGGGGACAATAATAGCAAACTAATCTGATTATTGGCTAACAAATATCTAATTTCCTAAAAAGTTCCTAAAATATTGCTCATATCCTCAGTTTTGTTCGGATGCTTCTCCAACTCATGGTATTGGTTAAAGCTGAGTCCCGAGGGCTTAACCAGGGATTAGCTGTTTTAGAAATAATAGGAAATTTTAGAAAGGAATTTTTAGCATTTTGTTTGGTTAGAGTTTGAAATAGCAGTTTTATAGAAGAAATAAAGTTTGAGGTACAGCTGAATAGAGAGATATGAGAAAAGAGAGGTATGAGAAGAGAGATGTAGGGTTAGAAGAGATTTGGGTTGAAGAATAGGAGGTTTTTTGGGGGGTACGGTTTTGATAAGTTGAAAGAAATTTTGCTAATTCTTCTAAAAGGGATAAAATCATCATCACTATCTAGATATTTACGAAAGTATTGATAGTAAAATTCACGATCATTTCGTGGTGGCTTTTCATAAGATTTTGAGTTTTTCTTGAGTATAACTTTCTTATAGGAAGTTATAATTTTTGTAACTATAAACTTCAAGAGTTCTGATGTGTAGCAAGCTCGCATTATTTTGACAGATATATAGTTTTATTGCCCAATTCAGATAATTTAAACCTCGATTTTCAAAAAGTCAGCATCTCATTAAAGTTTAACAAAAGTAAAAAAGGATATATTTTTTTTATTTTTGTCTATTCTAAAGTATTTCAGAATCTTAATTTTTCCCTAAATTCACTTAACCCTAAAATTGTGCATTAATCTAAGACTAAAAGATTCCATAAAAAAGAAGGATGAACATAAACTCTAATCCTTCCTAATCAGCATACTAACAATTTCATCTCAATCACCCCTTTAAAACAACACTATTTCCATATCAACACCTTGCCCCTAACCCCCCCCCCAAAAACCAATCCACTCTTCCCTCGCCAGTCACAACCATCCTCTTCCAAATATCTTAAAACCCTACCCCCTTCCTCTACATAAATTCCCTTCAAGCCCAAGACCCTCACTAGCACCCTCCAAAACTTCTTTGTCTAAATTCCCTTCTTCTCATTCACTTTTAGCCTGGTCGCTTGGTAAGAAATCTGAGGGTTTGGTTCAGAACCCTGCTTGCTCTTCTCGAGGATTGAGTAACTTTGTGGGGACATCCTTCTTGTGGCTGCATGTAGGCAAGAGTTGAGGAAGGATTTTAGGGTGAGAGAAGGGGATTGGGAGGAGAGAAGGAAGGAGAGGGAAAGAAGGAGCAGGCATTTTGGAGAGTTCAATCTTTAATTTTATAAAAGGGGTTTTGGGGTTTTGGGGTTTTGGGG